ACATGGTTGGAATGGGGACACAAGGTTGGATGGGTCATATAAAATGCGGTCAGAAGGTTGGATGGGTCACATTGAATGAGGTCAAAAGGTTGAATTGGTCACATTGAATGCGGTCACAAGGTTGGCTGGGTCACATTGAATGGGGTCACACGGTTGGATGGGTCACATTGAATGGGGTCACAGGGTTGGATGGATCACATTGAATGGGGTTACAAGGTTGGATGTGTCACATTGAATGGAGTCACCAAGGTTGGATGGGTCACATTGAATAAGGTTACAAGTTGGGTGGGGCACATTTAATGGGGTCACAAGGTTAGATCGGCCTCATTGAATGGGGTTACAAGGTGGATGGATCATGTAGAATGAGGTCTCAAGGTTGGATGCTCGCATGAAATATGATCACATTGTTGGATGTGGCACATTGAATGGGGTCACAATGTTGAATGGGTCATATAGAAGGCGGTCACAATGTTGGATTGGATTGGGCACATTGAATTGGGTCACAAGGTATTAATGGGCTCATAAGGTTGTATGAGGCACATTGAATGCGGTCACAAGATTGGATGTGTCACAAAGTTGGATGGGTCATATAGAATGCGGTCACAAGTTTGGAATTGGGCACATTGAATGGGGTCACAAGGTTAGATGGGTCACATTAAATGGGGTTACAAGGCTGGATGGGTCATATAAAATGCGGTCACAAGGTTGGATGGGTCACATTGAATGGGGTCACAAGGTTGGATGGGTCATATAGAATGCGACCACAAGGTTGGATGGGTCACATCGAATGTGGTCGCAAGGTTGGATGGGTCACATTGAATGGGGTTACATGGTTGGATGGGTCACATTGATTCGAGTAACAAGATTGGATGGGTCATATAGAATGCGGTCACACAGGGTAGGATGAGGTCGTACACTGGTTGATTGGGTCACAGAATGGGGTCACAAGGTTGGATGGGTCACATTGAATGGGTCACAAGGTTGGATGGGTCATCATTGAATGGGGTCACAATGTTGGATTGGGCACATTGAATTGGGTCACAAGGTTTAATGGGCTCATAAAGTTGGATGAGGCACATTGAATGCGATCACAAGATTGGATGTGTCACAAAGTTGGATGGGTCATATAGAATGCGGTCACAAGTTTGGAATGGGGCACATTGAATGGGGTCACAAGGTTAGATGGGTCACATTGAATGGGGTTACAAGGCTGGATGGGTCATATAAAATGCGGTCACAAGGTTGGATGGGTCATATAAAATGCGGTCACAAGATTGGATGGGTCATATAAAATGCGGTCACAAGCTTGGATGGGACATAAAATGCGGTCACAAGGTTGGATGGGTCACATTGAATGGGGTCACAAGGTTGGATGGGTCACATAGAATG